AGACCAGGCTCTCAGGGCTCTGCCCAGGGCCCCAGCTGTCAGGGAACCAGGACAAGCAAAACCAGCTTGGATGGTGGCCACCAGTGCTGGGCAGAGCAGCTCAGCTCCAGCACAAGGGCTGCGTGTTCCCGTCCCATGACCCCGGTGCAGTGACACAGGCTGCACAAAAAGGGCTGGGTTCCTTTGCTTCTGATTGCCAAGGCATGTGTGGAGCTGGAACTTACCAGGGCCCTGGAGAACCATTCCCAGCAATTGGGAAAATCCTAGGTGCTCCATCCACTCATAGATGAGGTCTCCAAAATTGCCCCGAAATTGGGTCCAGCTTTTAGAGGCCAAAAAGAGCAAGTCCAAGTTACTTGATGATATTTTTAGCCTAGAAAGCCCTGCAGCTGATGGCACACTTCATAATCAGCAGGGGACACAGCTAGGCCAAAGCCCAGACCTCTGCTGGGAGCCTTTCTCCTCAAATACCTTTCAGACAAATCTCCATGCAAGTCAGTTGGGAAAGTTTCTTCAAATGATCCATTTCTGGCACGTAACTACACAGGGTTATGGGAAAGATTCTAAAGCAGCTGCTCTGGAGTCAAAGAGCCAGCACTAAGAGTCCTTGTCATCTCTTTGTAGCTAAATCACACTTTGGGGGAGATGAAGGACTTTGGAACGAGCTAGAGAGCAGACCTCTTGAGTTTTTTCGATGATGCCATTGCTTTTTCTTCTCTTCTTCATAGACAGGAAGGGTGAGTTTGGCTCACATCTCCACCGCATGGCTCACAAGGCCGCAAGACTTGTAGTTACAAGCGCTTTGAAGAATTTCTCGGCCAAGAAGACATGGCCAACAAGGATATTTGTGTTTTGGAGTCAACCATTCAATATTTCATCTTATGGACTCATGCTACAGTGTAAGCTTCCTTAGCCAATCATGTTATGACACACAAACCTACAGCACTGCATCCTAAACTTCTTGTTTACCATTGTAACTACTTTGATTTTTTCTAGATCTTGAACTCTAAAACTCTAAACGTTCCTCCACTTCAACTTTCCTCCTTGTGTCTCTGCTATAAACTAGAAATCCTCATTCTCGCTTCTAGCACCTAAGTTTGGAAGCACTTTCCAAGGTCTCAGATCAAATCTTGGGTTTAATTCTAACCTTTGCTGACAAGACCAAAGGTCTGAGATTTCCCTGCATTTGGATTTCCAACAACACCGATGCTGTTAGTTCCAGAGTGCCCAGGATCCCTCTTGCAAGTCAACTCTGGCAGGAACAAGGCGGCTGCGGGGGGCTGCCTGTGTCCTCTAATAGCCCATTGCTCAGGGCTTGCTCGGGCCCCAGCCCTTCTGGCTCTGCCCCAGCCCAGCCAAGCTGCCCGGCAGCAGCGCCGCAGCCCCACAGCAGCTCCAGAGCAGCCCCATCCAGAGGCACCTGGGAGCCCTCAGCAAGGCAGCCAGCAGCACACGGGCAGGAGGACACGGATGGCGCTTCCTGCCTGGCACAGGGCTTGTGGCTATCCCCAGGCACCGCTCTGGCAGGGATCCCTGCAGCTCTGGCCCCTGCCCAGCCGTTCTGTCACCAGCACAAAGGCTTCATCAGTACCACCACAGGCCAAGGGGCTTCTGGGCATTTTCCCTTGCCCATTGCATGCCTGGGCAGCTGGCTGAGCACAAGCACCCTTCTCCCCTTCAGGGCCTCACCACCCCTCAGCCTGCTGTGCTGCTGAGCACAAGCACCCTTTTCACCCTTTCCTGCCTCTTGCCCCGCAGAGCCTGGGAAGCAAAGAAAAGCTCCTGACAGCCTGTGTATCATAAGACATTCTAGAATTATTTACAGTAGTCTAAAATCTATAATAATATACATAATTCTATATACTCTATAATTTATTTATTTACAATATAGATTAAAAATGGAAAAGAAGAAAGAAAAATATTAGAGAAAAGGAAAATTACTCCGGCACAGGTTGCCCCAGCAAAGACAGCCTCCCAGATCAGCTCTCCTCCTCAGTCATCCCGCAGAGCAGGCAGTCGAGCCCCGACAGGCGAGGCCGAGTGATCCATGCCCTGCGCAGCTGATCGTGCAGCCTCTGGATGGTGGAATATCGCCCACACTGTATTGCCAGGAGGTCATGCAGTTTTTCAAGTGCCAGCTGTGACACGGCACTGCTCCTGTCCTCCGTCAGGTGTTCCAGGGCTGCAAGAGAGAGGAACAGAGGCACGGTCAGAGCCGGACCTGCGGGGAGCCCAGGAGAGCCCCCTGCCAGGGCCATCCCAGCTGGCTCTTGCCATGGCCAGGAGGGAGNCAAAACATAAATGCAAAGTTACATTCTTTGCATTAAGAAGTAAATGATCTTTTGAAAAAGAGAATTCAGTTATTTCCAGTGCAAATGTGCTGATGGCATGGATCCATCTTACTGACCTCAGCAACCTCTTAAAAGATTTTGGGCTTTGTTTCCAACATTGGTATTTGAACTTGTGGTCGAAGCAAGAGGAAATTGCTTTGTGCCCTTCCAGCTCCAAGCAGGACTGGGAATGGAAACTCTGTCAAAGCTCAAGTCCCTTAGAAGATGACCTTCCTTCTCAGCCTGGGAATGAGCTGCACATTCCTTTTGAAACTTTTGTCAGGGATTTCTTAGAGACACAAAGTCCCACTTACGGCTTTTTGCTCTGGTTTGGAAGTGCAGAAGGGCAGTTCTCCATCCATCAGCTCCAGACTGCACTGCCTCAGGAGCACGGCCGACTCGCCAGCT